ACAAGCCCCGCCCCGAGAAGACTCCGCCCCTGGGCACAAGCCCGTCCTTGGGCTCCGTCCCACTTGGAACAGACCCCGTCACCAGGACAGGAGGTCCGCTCCTCAGGGACGAGTCTGCGCCCCGATAAGGCCCCGCCTCTGGGACTTCACCGTCCGCCCCCCTCATGTCAGAGGTCACAAGGCCTTTTCCTACAGGAGTCGCGTCCAGTAGATGAGAGATGGAGAGAAAGCGAGGGCGGAGGGAGAGAAGGGCCTTGAAATGATGGGGACCCCGGGGCTGCTCGTCCGCGCCAGGGGCAGCCAGGGCGTCCTACCCTCCGCGCTGGGAGGCTCTGCTAACACCCTCTGCGCTTCCAGGAGCCGCCCGTGGCCGTGGTCGGTGACTTTAAGCACAAACCTCCCGTCCACCACGCAGTTCCGGGACTTAAGTCGCCCATGGGCCACGCCTCGGTGGTGCAGGTACCTCATTCCCTGGACGGGGTGGGGTGAGAGGCCGCTTCAGCCCCGGCTCCCCTGCCCTGTCTCCCCCGCACCCCTCTTTCTGCACCTCCCGCTCCCCGCACACCTTGATGAGGTCCAGTAGCAGGGAGGACTTGAACATCCAGTCCAGCTTGATGTCTCTCTGGGCGAGGAGGTCGTGCAGGGAGCCCCGGGCGCAGTGCTCCGAGACCACGGCCAGCATGCCCTCCCCGGGGGCCGCGGCGCTGTCCGCTCCCCCCGCCAGGAAGAGCCCCAGGTAGAGGGCCACGTTCTCGTGCCGCAGCTCCCGGAGCTGGCGTGGGGGAGGGAGGAGAGGAAGGGGGGGAAGTTAACAGGCATTTAACGGGAGCAAGGCGGGAACGAGGCTGTTGCTGAGGTCTGGTTGTGAAGATGGGATGATGGTGGTGAATGGAAGGGCTACAGGGCACGTAGGAGGGCTTTCTTCTACAGACAGCTTCTCTCTCCGAAAAAGACACCTTCAAAGGCTGCCGTTCAAAGACTGAGTATGGGTTTAGTTTAAAGTTGTGAATGAAAAGACACCTTTGCACGGGGCGTCGGGATCTGGGCAGGTTCTGATTAGCCATCAGACTTGGAACGGTCCATGTCTCAAGGAGAAACACCCCATGAAGGAGAAGCCACCTCACCACCACCCTCCCCTTCTGATGTAACAGCCTTTGAGGGAAGAACCAGGGAGAAGCTGCACTGCTTTCAAAAAAAAAAAACACCAGAAATGGTCCTAGCTGGTTTGGCCCAGTGGATACAGCTCAGTCTGCAGACTAAAGCGTCCTGGCCTTGATTCCGGCCAAGAGCACATGCCCAGGTTGTGGGCTCCGTCCCCAGTGCGGGGTGTGCAGGGGCCAGTCCATCGGTAATTCTCTCTCATCATTGATGTTTCTATCTGTCCATCCCTCTCCCTTCCTCTCTGAAGTCAGAGGTCAATAAGATTATATTTAAAAACAAACAAAAAAACAACAACACCTGAAAAGGCTTGTACTGGGGAGTCAGCTGTGCCTGAGACTCCCACCCTCCTCCCCAAGCTCTAGAAGTAGGGGCTGAGGAGTCAAGCTGTGGCCCCAGAGCCCTCAAGCAGGCCACACCCCCTCAGCAGGACAGAGGCCCTCGCCACTGGGCATGCTGGGAAATGGGGCCAGCAGGTGACTGGTTCCTTTTCTAGCTTTCCTTTGGTCCAATGAAGGGCTTCTTTTCTTTTTTTTGGTGGTTTTTGTTTTTGTTTTTGTTTTTTTGGCTCCCCGTCGGGGAATCGAACCCCCGGTCTCCTGCATGACAGGCGGGAATGAAGGGCTTCTTTTCATCTTAAATGCCTGCCTGCTGTTATTAAGTGGTGATTTACTAGTATGTAGTCCGTTGATCCATACAAGTAGTCCACTTAAGTCACTCTGCAGCCATGACCAAGATCTTCTGTGGAGGCATCAAGCGAGGAGGCCAGGCCAAGACTGCATGGTGTTAGGGGTAAGGGGGGCATTAAGGTTGGAAGGACCAGAATAAGCCATTTTATAGCCTCTTTGCCAACCTTTCCCTTCACTCAGTAGGCATCAACCAGGCCATTCTTCATGAATGAGCTGACAGAACTGGAAACCCATTTTTCATTTTCTATCATTCACTCAACAAACATTCATTGGGTCTCTCTGATGTTCCAGGCACTGTGCTGGGTGCTGAAAATATAATGGAGGGGGCTCGGGGAAGCCCTCACACAGCTTTCAGTCTGGAAAGGGAGGCAGATAAGAAATAATCGGGCACACAGATGAACATAAAATTACAAATTATGAGCAGCACATCAAAGGAAATAACTGGTGTTATGAGAGCATAATGGGAAACCTGCTTTAGAGAGGAGGGGACACTCCGCTGAGACCTCTTGACCTCTCCACTTGGGGCCTACCTCTGTGCCCAGCTGCAAAGAGAAGGCAAGAAAGGAGAAATGATGGCCACCCCATACCCCATCATGGGCCCACCTCTTACCTTGGAGAAGGCTGTCTTGGTTGCTGGGCGGATAACTATGTGCTGATCCCCGGGGAATTTCTTCAGCCAAACCCAGTCTCCCTGGAGCAGAAATATGAGCAGTGAACTCAGTTTCTTAAAAACCCATGATGCAAAGAGCCCTGGAGCCCCCATTTCCATTGTCCCAGAACATTTTCCATGTGACAAAGAGTGTCAGGAGCCAGGAGTTTGGGTTTGATGTCTACCAATCCACTTGTCAGCTAGTTGGGTGAGAGCCCACCCCTGGGTAAGAGGTGCAGAAGGCCGAAAGACGATCTTCACTACCCAGATGTGTTCACCAAGAGTTCTATTAAGCAAGCCATTGCCAACACCAATGTCACTGAAGTCATAGCCTTCATCACCATCTGTTGCCATGAGAGCACTGTGGTGGGAGTCAGGAGTCTGGGTAGATCAGGCTTTACTATAGACTAATGGTGAAGTTTAGGCAGCTCCCCTCAAGGCTCTGGGCCCCATTGGCCCCAGCTGATGGCAGGGCTGGTTCATGGGCATGCGACATATGCAGTCACACAGGGGCCCGCGCTCAGTAGGCCTGAGCTGGTTTAATGATCTGCTGTTGTCATCTTGGATGAACAAGGGGCCCTTCATTTTTATTTTGCCCTAGACCTTGTAGCTGGCCTTGCCTGTTGATAAGGGATTTGGACAAGAAGAGAATTTGGGGGTTTGATACAGACCCCTAAAAAGCATTTGGAAAGAAAAGTGAAGACATTTTTAATTGTCGCAGAAACTGAGGGCAGCCCAGCGATGTGGCTCAGTGATCTATGAACCAGTAGGTCATGGTTTGATTTCTTCCAGCTAGGGCACATGTCCAGGTTGTGGGCTCGATCCCCACTTGCGGGTGTTCAGGAGGCAGCTGATGGATGAGTCTCTATCATCATTGATGTTTCTATCTCTCACTTCCTTTCCCTTCCTCTCTGAAATCAATAAGAATATATATATATATATATTTAAGTTAAAAAAAAACAACAACAACACTGAGGGCTATGTTTAGTAAAAAGGGCCAGAGAAAGAAACACTCAACATTCTTTAAGGCACAAGGTAGCCCAATATAATATGGCGTGATGACTTCTACGTGACTTACCGGCAATCTCTGCATTCTCTCCGTGACCTGACACTCTGGAGCTCTAAACATCCCCTCCCCTTCTGATTGGCTGAGCTCTCTCTCAGCTCTCCTTGAACTTGTTCTCATTATCTCCCACTCATTCCACAACATCAGATTTGCTGGGCCCATAGTTAATGTCCTCATGGCCCTTTGTGATTTCTTTTTCCCCTCGAAGGCTTGCTGTTCCTGAGTCTGGTTGGAACTGGGTGGGGCCAAAACGTGAGTCTGGTTGAGTCATGGGTAGCCGTGTCTGGAAACTCCCCATCCTGAACAATCCATGTCCTGGAATTGTCCTTTCTGTGACTGGGGAGCCATATCCCAGATGCCCCTCTGCCCCTACCTTTCCTGGGAGGCCTGTGCCCTTCAGTAACCTGATTAATTATCACTGAGGGGGGAGGGCCAGGGGCTCCCAACACAGTGGGGGATGTTCTCAGTGGCCACGCCAGGCTGCGTGCTGATCCCAGCACACTCCCCACCAGGCAGGTTTCTAGCCCCTGGGGCACTGAGGTTGGCCTTTGAGGACGCCTGGCCTGGATCACAGCTAAGTGAAAATCCTGGCTCAGGAGGGATTCCCAGATGCTTCCCTTTCAGAAATGTATGACCTCTCCCTAGATGCTCTTCGGGGGTCCTATCTCCATTTCCTGAGGATATGACATGACTCTAGGAACAGTTAGCGCTCAGCCTCATTGGGGGTCAGGCTCACCTCGTAGAGGCCGATGTTGGAGCTATCTGCAGGCTGGCTGGGGACGCTGCGAATGTCTGACATGCTGCGGGCCACCAGACTCGACCGACTGCTACCCTGGGCCACCTGGAGGGTAGAGATCAATTCAAGGGGTCAAAATATACTCCGAGTCCCGGATATATTGAGTTCTCAGACAGAGTTCTGGGGGTTAAAGAGGGGAGAGGAAGAAATAGTAATTAGGGAAGGTGATCGTGACATTACTTCCCAGGGACACAGCAGTTGACAGTTTACAAAACAGTCATTTCTTGTTGGAGCTTCACACTGCCCAGGAAGCAGCCAGGAGAGGGCCTGTTCCCCTCAGTGCACGCATCAGGCCTGGGACAGGGCTAGAGCAGACACCAGGCCTCCTTTCCAGTTGGGGTTGGGGTGAGGGCTGGCCCAGCCAGGGGACCAGATACTTAAGGAATCATAGTTGGATCCTGGCTCCCTGCTTCTCCCACCTTTTGAGAGCTGCCCCCTTGTGGGTGGAGGAAGGTGATGTCGTCCAGAGTCAAGATGATCTTGTTGGGGCCTGAGATCATTTGGATGTGAAGTAGCCGGTGCCTGGTAGGGGGAGGAGGTCATCTCCGCAAAGGGGGCCAAGGCGCATGAGAGGAAGCCAGAGGGGGATAATGGTGCCCAGGGGAGGGCAGCCATCCCCAGACCAGACATCCCTTGGGACTATGACAGCCTTCTAGCACCCCTCCCCCCTGTCCCTTTCACATAAACTCCCCCGTCTATCTTGAGTGGACCCAGCCTGCTGTCCTGCTGTCCAGTTGCATTTCTGGCATGAAGAGAGCCAAGCTCATCTCCTACTTACCTCACTTCCTTACTCACCTCACATAATGCGCCAGGAAGGCCCCTGTCAGCCCCATCCCGACCACCAGGAGGAAGCCGATAAAGACGAGGCCCGGATCCACTCCTGGAGGGGCAGCGAGAGGGACACTGAGGACCTGGCGGAGGGGAGGCACCCTTTCTAGGGAAGCAAGCAGTCATGCCATATCCTGGAGGCTCCTGGACAGGGGGAGGGGAGCCGAGAAAGGGAACTAGCGAAAGGTCGTGAGTTCTGCTAAGGGGGAGCATCTGGATGCCAGAAAGAGGGCTTTAGGGCAGTGATGGCGAACCTATGACACGTGTGTCAGAGGTGACACGAGAATTCATTTTTTTGGTTTATTTTTCTTTGTTAAATGGCATTTAAACATATAAAATAAATATCAAAAATATAAGTCTTTGTTTCACTATGGTTGTAAATATCAAAAAATTTCTATATGTGACACGGCACCAGAGTTAAGTTAGGGTTTTTCAAAATGCTGACCCGCCGAGCTCAAAAGGTTCGCCATCACGGCTTTAGGGGCTCAGCAAGAGAGGGATCCTGCACAAGTCTCCATCCCAGGAGGACCTGAAAGGGCCTCATGGAGGAGTTACAGGAAGAGTTCACTGTCTGTCCCCACTTTGTGGGAGGTGCCCGGTGACTGTCCTAGTGGAGGCTGTGTTTGCCCTCACCTCCGTTGCAGATGATGTCTGGGTCGAACCAGCAAGAGGGATCAGGCCCAGGCCCCTGGCCCCCTCCAGGGAAATGCACTGGGGTCCCAGCAGAGCGGAAGAAGCCCCGGGTGGGGTCCAGCATGTATGTGGCGAACAGCTGGTCCCCCGCCTCATCTGTGTCCAGCAGCACAAGCGGGGGCTCCTCGGCTCCTCCCAGGGCCCCGCAGAAACCCGGGACCTGGACATCCTGGATGTGGTGGGCCACAGCTGCTCCGGACACCCAGCTGCCACCTACCGCCGCCCGAGCTCGCGCCACGCCCCCCGCCAACAAGAAGACCGCATCATAGATGGTGCCGAAGAGTGGGGATACCTGGGGAAGGAGAAGGGGTTCAGGATGTGGGGTCACAGCCCATAAACAGACTGCCCTTCTCCTTATCTTTTCCCGGGGCCCTTCAAGCCCTTGACTGTTCTCACCTCCTAGTGGTTCCCCACATCCTATTGTCTAGGTCTTCCCCTCTCCCATTGGCTATCCCATCTCCTTTCCCCAGGGACCTTCCTTCTTAGGATTCTCACCATTGGTGAATTCTAACTCTCCTTTACCTACAGATCCTCTCTTCCTTTTCCTGTTGGTTGCCCTGAATATATTTTTAATTGATTTCAGAGAGAGGAAGGAAGAGATAGGAAACATCAATGATGAGAATCATTGATCAGCTGCCTCCTGCGCGCCCCCTACTGGGGATCAAGCCAGCAACCTGGACACGTGCCCTGACCTGAATGGGAACATGACCTCCTGCTTCATGGTTGATGCTCAAAAACTGAGCCATGCCAGCCGGACCTGAATATATTTTTAATATCATTAACTATCGTTCACCTAAAAGCCTTCTTTCCCATCTTTGGTGAGCTTCTAATTTCTATTTCAGTCTTTTCGTTCCCCAGGACCTTATGGAACCTCTCCATGTTCCCAGTTCCCAGCTCTCACAGTGCCAGGCAGTATGTAAAGCACAAGGCATGTACTGGTAGACAAGACAGAGTCCCTGTCTCGGGTAATCTTTCCTCTGGTTGGGGAGACGGATAAGGATGTTAAGGTAGGGCAACGAGTGAGGTCCAGGAACCGAGATAGTTGTGGAGACAGGAAGAAGGGCCCTAACCCAGGCAGAGGCTTCTGGGAGGAGTGGCCTTCCCTCAGGAAATGGGCCGGAATTATCTAGGGGACAGACAGCTGGTGCAGGAGAGCAGGAACAGTGCAGCCAGCAGCACAGAGGCGAAAGAGAAGACCCATTTAGGGAAACCAAACTAGCTGGTCTGATTGAAGTTCAAGGAAGATGGAAGAGAGAGGAACCCCAGACCGGTCAGCTGTGGGATGAGACCTGCGTTTATCCTGCAGGAGAAGCCCCTTGCACAGGCGTGACAGTCGCATTTCTGAAGTTCCAGCTGATGGGTGGGTGGAGAAAGGCCCGGGACAGGTAAGTGCTGAAACAGGGACCATGTGGAAGATTTTGTTTTGAGGTTTGGACCAGAGGGGGTGTGGCCTGAACCAGGGCAGGGACCGTGTGAATGGAGAAAGTGGATGGATTTAGAAGTAAACGTGACAGGACTTGATGCCTTGCTTACTGAGAACTAAAGAAGGTTTTTTCTTTTCACCACTTTCTCCTCTCTCTCTCTCTCTCTCTCTCTCTCTCTCTCACTCCATCCCACCTCTGTCCCTCTTCCCATTCCTCCCCTCCACGGGCTGCCCCAAATGTGTGGGGAGTATTTCAACCCCCCTTCACTTATAGCCCTCTCATAGGGCCCTTTTCGTTGTTAGTTTTCTGCCCATTGACATCTACATTCCCTTCTATCTCAGTGGCTCATAGCCCCCCTTTTATGCATGGGGTGGGACTAGATGGTCTGAACTGGCATTCTGGGTTCTCAGGGAATCCTGGGTAGTAGCTGGTTTCAGGAAGAAGCTGTGGATCTAAATGATTATGGAAGCTTTTGGCTCCGCCTAAGGACCTTTCTGCTTCTCACAAGACGTCGTGGCTCTCAAAAGGTTAAAACCACCAGACGAAGCCCCCCCACTCCCGCCCCCCAGGGAGCACCTCTGAAATGGACATGGGGGTTGGATCTGCACCCTCTCTCCTTCCTTCTCTTTTTCCCCCTATATTAGGGATTTTTTATAGAGAAGAAGGGAGAGGGATAGAGAGCCAGAAACATGGGTGAGAGAGATCGATCAGCTGCCTCCTGCACGCCCCCCAGTGGGGATGTGCCCGCAACCAAGGTACATGCCCTTGACCGGAATCGAACCTGGGACCCCTGAGTCTGCAGGCCGATGCTCTATCCACTGAGCCAAATCAGTTCGGCCTTGCTGCTCTCTTAAGAGCACCAGCTGTTTATTAGGACTGCACGCGCTGGTGGTGTTGGAGGCGGCAAAGATGCTGCAGAGTTTGGGTTCACTCCCGGAGCTGGGCTTGAGAGGTCTCATTTCAGTCTCTCGGGAAACAATCTCAAAACACTACGATGCCCCAGGCAAGCTAGACCGGAGCGTTCACACGACCCGGGAGCCTCCAGGGCAGGTGGAGCTGCTAGTTATTCTCTCCCCGTTGTCGTCCCCCTCTCTCCCATTGACTCCATCCTCTCCTGCCATTCCTGTACCCACTTCTCGACTCATTGCCCCAGCCTCCTTGCCCCAAGTTGGCCATCCTCTGCTTCCCCCCCAGCTCTCTGCCCCTGTTCTCTCCTCCCTGGTCCCTCTACCTGCTGCAGGTTAAGGTCGGGGGGCAGCTCCCGCTGCTCCTGGGCCCTGCGCAGGGCGTCCAGCACGCTGCCCCCCGGGGCACAGCGGCGCGTGAGGGTGAGCACCGCATCGTGGGCCCGGCGCAGCTGTGAGCTGTTGGCCAGCACGGACACGGCCTCCGGGCCCGGGGACAGGGCGTAGTGGAGCGTGTCGAAGGGCAGGAAGCCCAGGGCGCCGGCGGCCAGGCCCAGCTCCTCTGCAGCCTCCAGGAGGCAGCGCTGCTCCTCGCCACCCAGCAGC